ACTGATCGATGGGTATGAAGATACAGTCATGGACGATTAGGAAGCTGAGGGTGCTGACGGTGAACAGTGACCATAGACAACAGTTCGGTATTTCTTTTCTACGTCTGTGTGTGTGTGTGTGTGTGTGTGTGTGTGTGTGTGTGTGTGTGTGTGTGTGTCCTGGGGCTCACGACATAAGTATATTATTTTGAATGCTTTGTTGCTTTCATAGGCAATGAAAGTATCTCACCTTTCAGTTTTCATCTCTTTTATCACTAGTGGAGTTAACCCCATACAGAGGCCCCATAATTATTTTCTCTTTTGTGGTAAATAATTATTCTTGTTATTGCTCAGCTATCTAACTACAGGGATCTTGTTGGATTTCATAATTTTTATTTTTTTATATATTTAAAAATGTAGTGTGTGTGTGTGTGTGTGTGTGTGTGTGTGTGTGTGTGTGTGTGTGTGCCCCCGAAGTAGTTTTTGGATCCCCAGGAGCTAGAGTTGCAGATGGTTGTGAGCCTGATGTTGGTGCTGGGAAGCTAACTTACGTCCTCTGTAAGATCAATAAACACTCTTAGCCCATGGCTATCTCTCCAGCCCCAATCTCTTTTCTTTTCTTTTCTTTTTTTTTTTTTTTGGTTGTTGTTTTAAGTGTGTGCGTTTGTGTGTGTATGTGTGTGTGTATGCATGTGAGCAGATTGTGCTTGTACATGTCTGCACATACATGTGGAGGACAGAAGTTGTCAGGTTCCTTCCTCTAATGTTCTCCATCTTGTGTTTTGAGACAGGGTGTCTCACTGGACCTCAGGTTGTCCAATCAGCTGTCCAATTCTGGCTGGCTAGCAAGTTCCAGGATCCTCCTGTCTCCTCCTCTCTAGGGCTGGGTTGATAGGCTCTCTCTGCCATGACCTACTTCGTGTGTGGTGCTGAGGACCACACTGGACTCTTTATGCTTATGTAGCAGACATATTATACACAGAGTGAGCCATCTCCTCAGACCCCTGTTCTCATCATTTCTATGGGCTACATGTGCTACATTACCCACATTCTGTGATGTGTCCTTGCCTAATGACAAGCATACTGCATCACTGACAGACTGATTTCCCTAAAAATGTATTCATTGTAGCTGCCTGGACCACTAGCCTGGCTGTGGAGAGATGATGCTTTGTGCTGTAGCTGCCTGGACCACTAGCCCAGCTGTGGAGAGATGCTTTGTGCTCCTCTCTTGCTCTTCCCTTCCTGGCGCCTCCAGCCTCAGACTCACGCTTTCTGATCTGGGTCATGTTTGTTTTACTTTTCACGACAATTTATTAAAATAAGTGAGTCTCTGTTTTTAGCTGCGGACCATTTCCTCTCTCCTCCCCCAAGAAAAACAGAGATAGTTGGCATTTCTAGTGCTGGAAAGAATGTCTCAGAGAACACTGACCCAAAGACCCTCCACAGCCTCATTAATCAAACCCAAATGGGATGCACCAGAGCTGGGCCCAGACCCTTTCTTATGGTGGGATCAGATTGCAAAGGCAAGGGAATTTAGACATGATGTATTGCCAGAGGCCTGAGTATAGGGATAGGCTGGCCTTGCCTCACAAGGGCTGCTGTTGGATGGAAGGCAGAGGAGAACACTGTGGCTATGGGATGTGGGATGATAGCCATGTTAGTCATTCCACATGTGACACCTGGCACATTAGGATCATCATGCATGTAAGGAAGCCGAATTACAGTGGGAGTCTTTGCTTACTATCTCAGAACTAGAGAGGAGCCAGGAATGGGCAGAAGAGGGACTGCTTCATGCACCTGTGAACATCTACTCTCTTGGGCTCAATGTTTGTGTTTCATTCTTATTTTATTTTTTCTTACTTATCCTTTGAGAATTCCATTCATGCATTAAAACGTGTTTCCATCATATTCACCCTCTACTCCTCCCTAACTTCTTCCAGAACCACCCCCTCTCCTTCCCAACACCATGTCCTATTTGTTACTATTATTATTATTATTATTATTATTATTATTATTATTATTATTACTATTGTTTAATAACCCACTTAGACCAATTAGTGCATGAGTGTGGACCCATCCAGTAGATCTTGGTCAACCTATCATGATGTTCCTTAAGACTTGGGGAGGAGGATTGTGATAGAGAAGTTGTGTTTACAGCTGAATACTTCATGACACTGAAGCTCTACACTTGGATCAGTTGAGTCTCTGGATTTGCTGCCATCTACTGCACAGAGAAGCATCTCTTATGAGAACCAACAGCTGCGCTAATCTACCAATACTGAGATAAGTGCATATTTTTCTCTAAATTTTAACATGCTCATCAGTTTATATGACAATTAAGACACAGACCCAGCTGGGCAGTGGTGGTACATGACTTTAATCTTAGCACTTGGGAGGCAGAGGCAGGTGGAGCTCTGTGAGTTTGAGGCCAGCCTAGTCACAAAGCAAGTTCCAGGATAGTCAGGGCTGTTACACAGAGAAAGCCTGTCTTGAAAAACCAAGGGGGAAAAAAAAAGACACAGACTCAATCCATCACTGTCCCTCACTCTGTCCCCACCCCAACCGTTGGCAACCATTGATCTTTTTTGTGTAATTTTGCCCTTTCCAGAAGGCTGTATTAAGGAGATCATGCATGCTAAAACTGAGTTCATTCACACAGGGGTAGGTCTTCCAGATTCATTCTGTGGTGTGGATCAACAGTTTATTCTTTTTTTTGTTGTTGTTCCTGATAGAATCCAATATCTGATGTACCCTGCCTCTCATGAAACTGTTGAAGGATTCTCTGAATTGTAGGAGTAACCTGTTTCTAAGAATGAACCTACTCTTTTGGGTTCCTACCAGCGATATGCTGAGAGATACTGCTGTCCCCAGCCTCCATCAGTCTTTGATATTAGTGATATACAACAGCACTGACCTTAAAGGCCTTTCCAATAGTTATATTATGACATTCCACTTTAATTCCTTTAGTGGCTAGTGTTGGTCGCCTTCTATGTGACCATATACCATTTGTATATTCTCTCTAGTGAAGTGCCCAGGTCTTTCCAATTTTTTTTTAATCTTAATTGGGTTCTACATTTCCTTCGTGTTGAGTTTTGAGAGTTCTTCATATACCTTGAAGTGCTTTGTCCAACCAAGACAAATGTGGGCAGACAGTCCCAGCCAGAGCTGGCAGCAGAAGAGCAGTCCAGCCAGGTACAGGTACAGACAGTGTCAGGAGCCCCAACGCTGGGCTGGATCTGTCAATCAAGCCCGCCACTGAGCAAGTAGGGGTTTAGCTTCACATGGACAGATCTCTCTCTCTCTCTCTCTCTCTCTCTCTCTCTCTCTCTCTCTCTGTGTGTGTGTGTGTGTGTAGTGTTAGGCAAAGCTTTCCAAAGAGGTGTTCCTGAGCCAGAGTCTACCCTACTCCCCCATCTGTATCCTATCATCATCTCACATCCCATTCCTTCCTTCCTTACTCTACCCCAGCTGGCCACACGGGTGCTGGTCCCCCTCCCGACCATCCACATCTCAACATCTAATGTCAGCTTCAAGCTGGGTGGACTTGCTTCCAGCAGTGCTCTGATGTCTGACTCTCTTGCCTATTGTACTTTCATCCCTTTCATGCTTTCCTGCAGCATGTTCTCCCCCAGCTTTCCTCTGGGGCTTTCCCCAGGGGCCACGGTCTAGGTCCCAGTCTCTAGGATTTATTGGCTCTGCCGGCCCTTCCACTGTATCTAATCCTACCATCTGAGCTCTGCTTGCACAGCATATCTCAGATGGAGTCACAGCCTTGCCCATATCTGTCTGTCATCTGGGCTATGGGAACGGTTGCCTGATTAACTTCCCTAGTCCTCTTCCCCCTCCTGGCCCAGTCTCCAGCTGAAAGCCAGAGACTCCACACAGTCTCATCTCTGTGCGTCACATTGTCCCTTGGCTTCTCACTACTTTGCAGGCCTTGCTGCCACTGACAAGGACATGCTCGCTCTGGCCCTGCTAGCCCTCCTTTCTGGTCATTTCCATTCTTCACCGCATCTCCTGGCCTTTAGCTAACAACTCTCATTATAAACTTTTCACTTAAGTACGTCTGTGTCCTTATGGCTTGCCTTCTTCAGAAGACCTCTGTCCACTACTCATTTTGCCTTCTTTATGAAATATACAATCTCCCAAATTGATGACTAGTTGGCTTATATTTCTCTTGTTTGTTTTTGTCTTCTAGAAGGTTCTTTCCATGTGGTAGAAGCTCTACTATGGTCCTGTTGCACTCCAGCATCAAGCACATAGTAGGTACCCATTCTGTACCTACTGTGAATGTTCACACC